GAAGCAAGTGGCCCCTGCGAAAGAGAAGAGGGTTCACCCATGAGCTTCAGGGAGTGCCTAAACCGCTGGAAAGGGAAAGACGAATGCGTGTTTTCATCCCTGAACAATTGTTTCCTCCTGAGAAGGGGGTACGGCAAAGGGGGTGCGTGTTCAGAAACATGGCGTCGGTCTGCCCGGCGTCCCACTGAGGAGGAAGCGGCATCTCAGGACTGAGAAACGTGCCTGAGTCGGCACAGCCATCTGCCAGCAGAACGGAGATCCTGCTGGACACTACCTGGTTCCAGGCCCTCACTCTCCTCCCTGTGGGGAAGGGCATCGGAGGGCACCCCCTATTCTGACCCTCAGGTGTTACAAGTCAGTGTGCTGAGAAGTATCATGCTTCCCCAAAGAACCCAGCACAGCCTGTATTAGCACCCAGGCCCTGTCACCCCTCCGAAGAAGACTGCTAGCTGGGACAGAGGGCGGGTCCTGTGGACACAGAGTGGAAGTGGGAGACACCTTCGGTTCCCTCCAACCTGCACTACGGGTCCGGCTCCCTGTGTTTTCCATAGGTGCTTCCTCAGGGCAGACTGGACCATGGTCCTTACCTGACAGTATGCTCAGGCCCTCCAGCCAGGCCATTTCCCTCCACCCAGTTGACCTGCTCAAATTTGCATGTGTGTGCTGTGGCCCGTAGTGTGTGTGTTGCCGTGCTTTGTAGAGGGGTAAGGCTGATGGGGTGACGTCAGTGGCATTCCAGTTGTCGTTCAGAGGGTTCCTGAGCCTCTACGCCTGCCAAGGGGGACCACACGAGGCAAAATCTTGGGGTCATTTAGTTTGGGGCCTGGTTCTGTCAGACACTGGTCTCGGTCTTTGGTTCACCAGCCTTGCTCCTCTCCTTCTTCAGAACTGACAATGTCCCCATCTTTCTTTCCTCTTCTTTCCTCTTTATCCGGTCCCGGTGACTGGCCCCATCAGGCCACTCTGTCCAACTTGTCATTGCTGCAGCGGTGAAGTGCCATCAAATCAGTTCCAACCACAGTGACCTGATGCACCACAAAACAACAACCAAAAACCACGGCCCGGTCTCGCCGCCACCCTCGTGAGTGACTGTTCCTCTTTTTCTCTGGCCCCACCCACTTCACCAAACAGGCGGTCCTTCTCCAGGGACTGGTCCCTTCTGATGACATGTCCAAAGTGGGTACGTTCAACATTCTCCTCCAGCACCAGCATCAAACGCATGGCTTCTTCGTCTCCTTGATTCAATGGCCAACTTTCTTTGACATGTCCTACTGGGACCACGGACTATGTGAGTACCAATCTTGGTCGGTGCCCTAGCCCTCCTCGGCAGGGTAGCCACACCAGACAGCTTGTCTGGCACCTACCCAAGCCTGCCTTTCCTTGGCACCCTGTGGTAGTTCTAGATCTGGTGGGGGTAGAGCAGCTGTCGTCTGTGAGCATTCTAACTGGATGCACTCATTTAGGGTACCCTCTGCCACGATCCAACGATTCTAATGAAGCCTGGGTCTTTCCACCTGGATCCCCTTCTGCTTTGCAAGTATCTATCGGTCTGTCCTGCTGGTTTTAAGTCTTCCACGGCCCTTCCCTCCAGGAATACCTGACAAGGACAAAGTGTCTGAGCCCTTGATATTGACCAAGCGGCATCTTTGTTTGGGTGCCGGGTTCCTTTGGGAGGCAGGCGGGTGCATTGTTTGAGAGAGGCTGCTCAGTTGGGAACATTTTCCCAACACCCTTCTCAGACCCGGGGGTGTTGACCAGACCAGGAAACCAGCAGGGATTGCTTGAGGCTGGCCCTGGCGTGATTTAAATCGGCACCCAAGTGGAAAAGAGGGCAGGCTCTGAGGCTGGAAGCTGGCCAGAGGGGGAGCAGGGCCACAGCAGCGGCCTCCACCAGGTGGAGAGTTGGCAGCTACCGGCTTTCCTGTTGATGCTTTGTCCCGTGAAGGAGTCCCCAGTGAAGCCCTGGTGAAGGCTTAATCATTTTCTCTGTAGCCTCCTGACAGAGGCTGTTTCTCATGTCCGGCCGGCCTCTGGTTTCGCCGGCCCCCAGGGTTTCATCTGAAGGGCGGGACCTTCCTATTCCCCCATTCCCACTCCCACCCCAGGGCCAATGAAAGCAACATACCTCAGCCTCCCAGTGACTAAGAGCTCCCAGTATTTAAGAAGTTGCGGGAACCCGCTGAGAACTGCTGTGGCTTCCTCCCTGCAAAGGGTGCGCTCTGCTCCCTGAAGGGACAAGCCCAGTCCCCCTGCCGCCGAGAGCATGTGCTGCAACCAGTGCTCCCGCTACCTGGGCGCCAGTCTCTGTGTGCTCGCTGCCCTGTGCATCACGGCGAACGTCCTGCTGTACTTTCCCCACGGAGAGACGAAGCCTGCTTCCGAGAACCACCTTAGCCGCTTCGTGTCCTTCTTCTCGGGGATCGTGGGAGGAGGCCTGCTGGTAAGTTCCTCTTCAGAAGGATGGCAACCGTAAAAAAGTAGGGGGATGGGTATATTGGATGGATAAGATGTGGCAAAAAAAAAACCCATAGAAAAATGGTAAGAAGAATATATAATAAGAATAATAAGGGTTCTTGGGGGGGGCAGAGAGGGGACTCAAGGGAAGGAGATGTCAAAAAGTTCAGGAAGAGAAAGAAAATGTTTGGAAACCTACTGTGGTGGCAATTGCACTAGTATGCTGGATCTAACGGAACCATGGAATGGGATCTGCTCTGTAAGAGCGCCCCATAAACTGATTAATGGAACTTTAAAGTAGAAATTAAAACAATAAGGCATAGAGAGGAAAACATTCAGAAAACAAAAAGGCAGGCCTCGCCCGTGCGCTGGCCCCAGAACCGGGCTTGCTGGCCCGTCTTCTCCTGAGAGCAGATTATCCAGCCGGGAAGGCAGGCCGCTCCACTCACGGCTCCAGAGGCTGTTTTTCCAAAATCCTCTTTCACCTACAAGCGAGCTACTTTTTTTTGGGTGTGAATTCTCTTATTTAGCAGTTGGGAAATGGGCATTCGCCTCGCTGTAGGCATGATTTAAATTAATGTTGAGGCGTTATAGCGTCCCCAGCCCTGGCACTGGCTTGTTTGTTTGTTCTGTTCTGGAGAGCGGGGAAGGAGTTGGCTGGTGTCCAGAACAACAGAATTTGCTACCCGGGGTTTCCCGCTGTTTATTCTCAGGCGTCTGCAGAGGGACCTGGAAAAAGGAGCCAACCGAGTGGGTTGCCGTGGGGAACGAACCCTCGGTCTGTTGCCGGTGTTAGGTTCTGGGGTGCCCTGTGTAGGAAGAACCTGCGATTGGCAGTGGACGGTTGGTTCTGCAGCGCGTGGTGGAATGCGCTGTGTGTTCCGGGGCTGGTTTTGAGCACTGAACTGAGAGGACTTTGTCAGCCTGTGAGCTGCAGGCATTAGTTTCAGCCAGCCACAGCGTGTAAAGAATGCGGACAAACTGGAGTTTGCGCATTTTAAATCGCCAAGATCAGACATAGAAAGGGGACTTTTATGAAATGGTTAATTCCATACAGGGTTTTTTGTTCTTTGTCTCAAAAACTAAAAACAAAAGCCTCACCACCATGACTCACAGTGACCCTGTAGGGTGGAGTAGAAGTGCCCCTGTGAGTTCCGAGACTGGAAGTCTTTCTGGAGCAGAGAGCCCCTCTTGCTCCCGAGGAACAGCTGGTCCTTTCCGACTGCAGGCTTTTCGGGTCAAAGTCCAGCGAGCGTGTAACCATTGCGTGTAGTTAAGGAGGTGAAAATGTCGAAACCTGATACCCCAATTGTGACATGGGAAACCCGTTACACATTCCAGCATGGTCATCACATGAATGCAATCAAATGTTTGGAACCTAACCTTGGGCTTGTTGAAGTCGTTCATATTTATGATGCAGAATTCCCATCTCTCTCCTAAATCACCAAAAAGATGTCCGTGCTTTAATAGGGATTTGTTAGGATCATCCGTGTTTGACAAGAAACACAATCCTATTGAAAAAGATGGGGTTTAATATTTTCACAACCGTCTGCATCCGGGACCATGTCATGGAGTCTTAGGGAATGAAGCAATGCAGGTTATTGCTGGATGCTACCCCACCCGCCACCATTCTCCAGCCTCACCCCAAAGATTGCTTTGAAGACAAACCCTAGATGGCATTTAGAGTTTTTTTCTCCTTCGAGTTTGACAACTTTTGAGAGACGTGATTATCCAACCCTGTGCTAGTCAACACTGTTGGAAAGAAATAGATTCAGGGAAAGCTGCCCAACCAGGCGCAGAGGTACTGGGGACAGAGCATGACTGTGGTTTGCTTGTTCCTGACCAGGTATTCCTGCCCGGCTACGTCTTCTTGGGACTGGAGAGGGAGAACTGCTGTTGTTGCCTTGGAAACCACAGCTGTGGCAAGAGATGTGCGGTAGGTCATTGCGTCCTGATGGTGACCTTGCCCCTCTGTGGCGCTCCGGGGCTCATGCCTGTGTTTCTGTGTACCTAGATGCTGTCCTCTGTCCTGGCCGCCCTCATTGGAATCGCAGGATCTGGCTACTGTGTCATTGTGGCAGCCCTGGGCTTAGCAGAAGGACCACTGTGTAAAAACAGCGAACAGCAGTGGGACTACCCCTTTGCCAACACCGAGGCAAAGTAAGTAATGCTTCTCCTCCATGAGACCCTGCGGCCTCAGCCACCAGCTGTGTACAGCAACAACTTCATTAAGCAAAAAGGCACCCAGCTCTCTGTTCATCCATCCTCAGCCCGGGTTTGCTAGCCCTGATGCACGCCAACTATGGTGTAGGCCACAGGCGCCCCCGTACATGGATGCCAGTCCTGGAGCCACTCTGAGCCACGCAGCCCCGAGGGCTTGAATGGACTCAACGATCCCGTTTACATAACCACCCTGTCAGGTGACTCCCACTGTGGTGCCCAGCTGACAGGTGAGGAAAGGGGGCATGGGGATGATATGACCTATCCAAGGTCAGTCACATTGTTAGAAGTGCCCATCCGGGTTTGAACCCAGGTCAGTCTGGCTGTCGAGTTTGTGCTCAGAACAATTGGCGGCGCAGTGAATACAGTTTACTGGTAGCAAGTATATGAGGTGAACTAGAAACCGCCAGGTAAAATCACACCCCACACGTGCACACCCGCGTCCAACATCTTGAGGATGTGTTACGCACCCCTGACTGAAAGTGACCAGGCTGTACCAGACGGGTCTTATGTATGACTGCAGGATCAGTAAGCGACGAGACGTTCCATTGTGTGCTTATGCTCATTCCTTCTTAAGAGAAGCACAGAAAGGGAAAGCTAGTGCACGAGGTGATAAACGAATAGCATCTTTCATTGGGCAGGAATTGATTCCGAGTTGACCTTTTCCTCATTCTGTTTTAAAAAATTTGCACATGAAAACCTTCGTTTTGAGATTCATGTGTGCAGGTAATAGGAATTTAGATTGCCATTACGTTACGGAGCTGTTTTGTCCCCCACAAATTACAGGGCATAGATGGGGTGAGACAATCGTGAACTTGGTGGGCAAAGCGTACTGGATTTGAGTGTCGCCTCTGGATAGCCAGGAAGCAGTGAACTGGCCTCTGTGGATCTCAGTTACTTCATTTGTCAGAAAAGACTAACAGCGCTTGTCTTGAGGATTAAGGGCAAAGCGCATGTTAAACACTCTTGATGGAGGCTGGTGGATCCATATAACTCAAGCTGTTACTATGAAGGAGCTTCGAAATGTTCTTGGAAATTTTTCATTCTTATCTCATTCTAGTTCTCCAAGAACTTTTGGGAAGCCCCTCATATGATCAATTAGCTTACAACAAATACAAGCCAATAGTCATCTCTGGAGGAAAAGTAAGCATTTACAGATGTTGGAAACTAGTGTTCAAAGTTGTTATTGATCCTTGGTTCATTCTTGTTGAGGATCTGTTCATGGAAAATCTATTCATGAGCCTATCAATGCACACACATATACAAAACTGCCACACACACCCATTTTTAAAGAAATGCCTGACGGACACATCTGAAATGTGGGGAGAGGTTTTGTTTTTAGTCATTGACTGATATTTTCCAAAGATGCATACCAGCTTCTATAAGAAACCATTCCCTTCGACATCATTTCTAGGGAGAGATTTCGTCATGAAGAACAAATCACTAACCCAGTGATCAGTTGCCCAAATGACAAACACAATCAGAGAATGCTCGGACCCTGTAAGTTGGAAATACAGAGTTTCGTTCCACAGGCATGGAGAAGTATAAACTGAAATTCAGATTAGCTCACTCGAAGGGCCGTTCTCCAATTCCAAACGCCTTCCTCCTGCTGCGGTAGAGAGAAGTGACGAGGAAACCAGTGTCACGGTATTCTTTGTGGAGCCAAGTCAATCCCCGCCCCGCCCCATCCCCACATCCTTCCACCCCATTGCACTGAGAATCCAAATAGTCTGTGGTGGAACAAAAGCTGAAATTCTAGGAGAGTAATTGGAGAGAATTTTTCAGACTTTTCAGAATAGTAGCTGGGTATCTACTTAGAAAAATCTTCTAAGATAGGTGTGTGTGTGTGTGCACATGCACTGTATAGATAGGAGGAGACTTTAAAATGTCATGGAAACTTTTATTTTTATTTTTTCCAAACAAAACCCCTTTTATTGCAGAAAACACACAACTTTCTTTCTTCATAAGGAAATGTACTATTGCCTTATTCAAGGTGACAGTTGTCATGGAAATTTTTAAAAATTCTTTTCATTCCCTTTTTCCATCAACTTTTTTGAAGCAAGCGCGCGCGCATGCGCGCACGCACGCGCGTGTGTTTTGTAAATATATAGCAAGGTGGAGAGGCAAAGAGAGCCCTGGCCATGCAGTGGTTGAGCGCTTGTCTGCTAACCCAAAGGTTGTGGGTTTGAGCCCAGCAGCTCCCTCAGAAAATGGTGTGGTCCTGTGCTCTGTCTGCACATTCAAGCCTGGGAAACCCTGGGGGTCAGCACTACTCGCCCTAACAGTTGCTAGGAGTCAGGATCTACCCAACAGCGTTTGGCTGGCTGTATGGTGAGAGATGACCTCAGCAATGGTTTCCTAAGATCTTGCCAAGCGCTTTCAGCTTATTTGTCATTTGGTCACTTCCGAGTACCCATCCCATTTCAGGTGTTCACGTGTGTTTCTAGGGGCTGGAAATACAGTGAGAGAGTGCTTGGTTCCTACCTTCCTGGAATTCAGCCCGATGGAATCAAGAGATACGCAGGCAGGTATCTGCCCTGACCAAGGAAGGGGTCCTTCCTCCGTGGCTCCTCTCACGCTATCTTTACATTCCTCGAGTACATCCCTGAGGGATTGAGATTGCCTATTCCTTGTCTATTCCCTGAGATGCCAAGCTCTTCCAGCGTTGGATTTGTGCCCCGTTCACCGTTGCATCCCACCTGTCGTTAAATGTCTAGCTCCCACCAGGAAGGTGATAATCTTTATGGGATGTGAGAAGGGAACCCAACAGTCCACGATGGATGCGTGACCACAGCAGCGCCAAAGGAAAGACGCAGTGCCCACTGAGACAGTTTGACTGCATCCCTGTGCTACATTTTGCAAATTAACTTATTTCTAAAACGGTCTCCCCTGCAAAGTGTTTGCATGTTTAAGCTCTAAGTTTGCCAGGATTGGAGTAATTTCAGATGGCGTCAATTGGATTTTAATGAAATGATCTGAATTAGTATTTTTAAATTCAAGAACGCTAATACAAAGACAGGATATTTTCTGGAGAGAAAAAAAAACCTCACTCACTTGATTACAAAGGTCCATTTGTCCTACAATAGAACATTTAACTAAAAATAAAACTTGGGAGAAGGGTAAAAAAAATCAACTGTAGTTCCACTGCCTCAACACTTTGGGTACTTTCATTGCTCCAAATTTGCTTTTAATTGAGATCTACATACATTTGAATTTGAATTCGCCTGAAACAAAGCCTAAATGGGTTTTAATGTTCTTTCTTTGTTTTTGTTTTGTTTAATAGTTGTTTACATGTCTTTAGAAAATACAAATACAACCAGGAGGAGATTCCTAAGCACAGGAGTATTGACTAGGAGTAAAAAGTTGTTTTAATTTTACATGGATCCCTGGGTGAAGGGATGGTATAAGATATGAATATAACAATAATTTATAATTTATCAAGGGTTCATGATGTTGTGAGGATGGGGAGGGAGGGGATAAAAGAGGAGCTGATACCAAGGGCTCAAGTAGAAAGAAAATGCTTTGAAAATGATGATGGCAACATATATACAAATGTGATTGATACAATTAGAGTATGGATTGTTATAAGAGCTGTAAGATCCTCCAATAAAATGATAATTTAAAAAGTACTTTTATCATTATGACAAGATTGGAGCTAAATTCCTCTTTCAATCTTGAAGGACTGTGATAGAGGCTATTGAAATAATTCACTTTTGGTTTTGATTAAAGTAAATACCCCACAAAAAAATCATTTATGAGCTATCCCACTGGCGTGGTTACATGTCAGACATTCCTCCTTTGTTCCACAGGTACCTTGTGGAAAGTTCATCCTGGTCCAAGTGCATTGAACCTGAGCACATAGTGGAATGGAATACAACTCTGTTTTCTATCCTATTGGCTCTTGGTGCGATTGAGTTCATCTTGTGTCTCATTCAAATCCTAAACGGAGTGCTGGGAGGCATCTGTAGCTATTGCTGCTGTCGGCAGCAGGTAAGAGCTCCGATTTATCTGATTGCTATGCAGCTCAAGACACGCTCCAGAGAGAAGAAAGGCAGGAGAAAGCCTTTCCTGGCTTGTCTAGTGTTGCCGTATCAGAAATATCAAAACAGATACTGTTAAGAAACAGAAATATATTTTTCTCACAGTTTAGGAGGCTAGAATTCCAAGTTCAGGATCCAATTCGAGGCTACTTCTCTTTTCTCTTGGTTTGGAAGAAGGACCACGTGTCTTTGAGCCTCTACTTCGTTCTTCATGGTATGGAGCACCTGTCTTCTCCCATCTCTGCCTTGCTCACTTGCTTCATCTCTTTACATCTCAAAAGAGATTGGTTCTACACATACCCTGTGCTGATCCTGCTTCCGTGACATCACAAAAACACCCCTTTCCCAAGTGGGATTATAACCACAGGCCCAGAGTTTAGGATTATGACACAACATTTTGGTGGACATACTTCAATCCACAGTTTTTCACTTTCACCCCACAATTTGCGTTTTTGCCATATGCAAAACACATTCACCCCATCCCATCACCCGAAGTCTAAAGTCAACGCCCACTCCCAAATCTCATCCTCTGTGCTCCATCCTGAGTGCAAAATTCCTCTCATCGGTGACCTCGTAAAATCTAGAGCCCACCTCATCTGTTTTAAAAGCATGGAGAAAATGAGCCCACAGGGCGGTTAATCTGATGACAAATGGGGAGCTTTGGAGGGAAAGAAGGGCTAATGGGCTCCACCACGCAAGTCCAAACGCAGCAAGAACAACTTGCCTGGGTTTATACGGGAATATCCAAGAAGCAAGCACAGCCTTACTTATGCTTACTTACTAATCTGCAATGACCAATTTCACGTTTTCCCACCACATAAAAGATTCAGCTTCTACTGCTGACTGGTAGGTACCCTCTCTCCCAAACCCACAGCACCTTCCTGCACAATCCAACCTCCTTTCGAATTTATAGTCCCTGACAGGGATGGAATACTGGTGAACACTATAGACCAGTGGTTCTCAACCTTCCTAACGCCTCGACCCTTTAATACAGTTCCTCATGTTGTGATGACCCCCAACCATAAAATTATTTTTGTTGCTACTGTTATGAATCATAATGTAAATATCTGCTAATATAATTATATTCTAACTATAATTTTGCTATTGTTATGAATCATAATGTAAACATATGATCTGCAGGATGTATTTTCATTGTTACAAATTGAACATAATTAAACATAACTAAAGCATAGTGATTAATCACAAAATAATATGTAATTACATATTGTGAAACATTTATGCATTTTCCGATGGTCTTAGGCGACCCCTGTGAAAGGGCTGTTCAACCCCCAAAGGGGTCTCGACCCACGGGTTGAGAACTGCCACTATAGATTAACAAGTAAGCACATGGCAGCCCATGCTTACCTTGCCTACAGGGTAACTTGCCCAGACATTAGCTCTCAAGACCTGATAATAATCCTCTGTTTTCAAAGGTAATGGCCCTGCCCTCCCGACTCCAGGTATTGCCATGCTTTCTGGATTCTGAGTGGAAGCCTCTTAGCCCTGGACTTCAGCTTTGCCTTCCGGGTTCACTGTGATGGCAACTCTTCTGCCTTGGCTTTGAGAGGTCCATTCTCATAGTCTGTCTGAGGGGTGACCCCCGTCCATCACTTGGGCACCATAGCCTTAGTCCCTCCACTTTGGGCAGCAGACCCTTCATCTTGGCCAGACTCACACTCCAGAACCAAGAGGTGAGGATCTGGCCCTTCGAAGCTGAGGCAGCCAGAGCACCCGCTCTCTGCCGCCCCGGCTCTGGTCCCACCCTTCAAGGCTCTGCTTCCTGTGCTCATTCCAACAGTTCTGATGTTGTGGAGTCGCCTGGGGATGGTCCTTTTCTTTTCTCAAAGGAAAACAAATTTTGTTTCCTGCCTACAAAATCCCAAGAGGCAGCCAGTGTTCCCATCTTTTGTTCTTTCTCCCGTCTCTTCAGACTGAGGGTTTCTGCTGGGGTGGCTGGGTCTACCCGTCAGTCACAGGGTCAATCTCTTTCACAGAGGAGACCGCGTGTCCCTTCAGCGTTCCAAGGGAATTTTCCAAGTTTGGTTGTGCAGTTCATTTAAAATCCATCTCTTTCCTTTCCCATCTTACTATATCCACACAGGTCCTTGTAAGAGTTTGCTTATAAATTGTCACAGCTAAATAGCCAGTTTCATCACTCAGGCATCCTACCATCCACCAAACATTGGAACAAGACGCAGGCAAGTTCTTTGTCACTGCATAAAAAATTTTTTGAAAACCCTTCTTCCATTGCCCAGTCAACGTTCATTTTCTTTCCAAGCTGCCCCTGACGCACATTAAAGGCCCACTTTTCTATTAACGTTCTGGTCACATAGGTATTCTGAGACCAGAGGATGGAGAGTTTCTCTTCAGCTTTCCTCACCAGAATTGCTTCTAACATCTAGAAATCTACCAACGATGTCTTCAGGACCATCTAGGCTTCTACATTACTAGGGATCTTAAAACGCTTTCAGTCTCCCCAAAACTCAACCAGACTCACTGCCATCAAGTGGATGCTGCCTCGCAGCACCCTCTAGGACAGGTGGACCTGCCCCTGTGGCTTTCTGAGACTGTCACTCTTCACGGAAGTAGAAAGCCCTGCCTTTCGACCAAGCAGCAGCTGTTGACTTCCAAGTGCTGACCTAGAGGTTGGGGTCCCCAACACAAATTTGGAGGGGCACAGTCCAATCTATAATGCTGCTCCATCTAACCAGCATTTATTTCTGCATCATCTTTGAAGAAAAACACTCACAGGGTTCTATTTCTCTAAGAGTAAATTTTCTCCAGTCTCAGGCACCGCATGGTCTTATTCTTCACAGTTGACTCTGTGTCGTGTTACCCAAGACACAGAGCCTTCGTTAGGATCTGATCTACTGCTCATCCCATCACCCCTGCACCCCTGCCCCGGCTGAACAGATCGCCTGCTCCCACCAAGATGCACAGCCTGGGAAACCCCAAACAGGGGCACAGCGAGTCAGCGTTGTTTCAAACAGTGGGCTTGTTTGGGTTCGGTTCTGGCTGAGGAGAGCCCAAAGATTCTTTCTTTGATGACTTTCACACTCGCAGCTCATCGATACCAATAAGAGCCAACCTTCATTGCACTAGATAATACTTAAGGGCGTTCCAGTGAGTTTGCTCCTTAATTCTTCTCCACAACTCTTAAAAAGCAAATGTGATGATCACTGAGCCCATTTTCCAGGTGAGATGGTGCCTCAGAGAGATGAAGCAATATGTCTAACATCATCCACTTGGGTAAAGCTCCAACCCATGAGCCACTTTATGCTAATCCTACTCTTAAACTGCAGGTGACACTTCATTTCATTGGCCTATCTCCCTTGCCTTATTAGGAGCCCAGGCAACAGGAAGAATTACTTAATAGCCTTTGAGGAGCAGCCTTACGTGGTGAAAGAAAACCAGGAAGCATTTGTTTCCTGGGGATACAATTGAGGACAGAGTAGGTATTTGTTAGTAGTAGAGAAAGTTGTTTCTACATCATCCTAGAAACCATATATTATTGAATTACTCCAAGTCCAGCTGTGGTCTAAATTTTTGTTGTTGTTTTATATCTGCTTCTGCAAAACAGGAGTAAGTCAACGCAAACTTATTTAAATGACTTTTTCTAATTGTTTATTCCTTTGGCTCAAGCACTTCTCTTCATTTTCTTTTGGAATATTGTAAAGTTGAATGAAAACTAGCTAAGCCCTTTGCAGCCATGAAAAGTCTTACTTAAATGGAAACTTTCTATTTGGGAGGGAAGGGCAAAGAAAAACCTAGTTTTCCTTTTCAGACAAGTATAGCAAGATTAATAATTTCTTAGGAAGCTTGCCACATTTCAGAAGAGTGAGAAAAGCCTTTCACATGGAGTTTTTCCCAAGACTGGTTACACAGGGGCCCCTGGAGGGTGCTAATGGTCAACTCACCGGACTGATAACCAAATGTTTGGAAGTTGGAATCAACCCAAAGGTGTGTAGGAAGAAACGCCTGGTGATCCACTTCCAAAGCATCACCATTCCATCCCAATGGGACTCTCCTCGGACACACATGGAGTCTCCATAAACCAGCGCTGGCTGGAAGGCAACTGATTTGTCCAATTGTTTTCATTTGAACAGAAAGGACTGCTCAGGGTTACTCTACTGCAAGCTCTCTCTAGCTTTGAATTTTGTACATGGAGGGATTTAAACTAAGTGAAGCTCCACTGGACTTCTGAGCAGGTGTCCTTTGGAAACAGGCATGAAGGCCCAGTGACCAAAATTACTGAAGTGATTTGACAGCGAGTAAGACCAATGGCAAATGGTCCCGCAGACTGTCACATCTAGGTCACTGTAGGACTGGCTTCTTCCACTCCCCACAGTGCAGTTTACCCTTTTCCTGTAAGACAAAAAGACAGAGCGGTTACTAACATTTACAAGACAAAAGACACCTTCAAAGGACAGAGTGTGAAAGAGTTGAGCACCTAGCTTGGTAGCATTTAATTGGAAAGGTTATCCACCCATGAGCTCTCTCCTGTGCGAAGCTGCCCTCTGTTAAGTCTCTAGCATTATCTTCTGAATCCCAAGGCTAACACGAGTCTTTCCTGTGTGGATATCCGCAGTTTCCATGGGCACGTTCCCACAGCTTTTATTTAGGCAGAGCAACAGGGCTGGTTTGTTTAGGAAACACCTCAGAAGCATTGCCTAAGCCCCAAGTGGTGTTGACCAAAAACTCTGCTCAAGTTGAGATCATTCTACTCTCTGTTTGCTTCAGACCGGCGCATCAAGGACTGACATGTCACCTTGGCCCAGCCGGCTGGTAACGTAACAAGTGTCCCTTTTCTCTTTGCAGTGGTATGACTGCTGAAACAGCCAGCGCAGGACAGAACCACAGCCGGCCTTTTTGCATCGTAATTTATTGTACTTGCATTAAATTGTACAGCTCACCTGTTCCAGTTTTATGAACATGTGTACAAGCTGACCTCGTCACAGATTAGCAAGTGTTTGGACTTAGTAAACAGACTTTTATTTTATTTTTGTCTCTTAAGAAATAAAAAACAAAAACAAAAACACCTGACTTCACTCAGGAGATAATTGACACCAGTCTGAGTGAGGGTCCTCAGAAAATCTGAGAGGGGCTATGGCCTGGAGTTACGTTCCTGAGAAACATTGCAAGGATAGAAATTACATTCCAAATGCTAGTGTGTATACCTATACACACATATGTATGCATATACATTATATATATACACATACACACATGTATGCATGTGGTTTTTAAATGAAAGATTTTTAGTTGACATACATATATATACATTTATATTTATATATATATATATATATACATACACACATGTATGCATGTGTTTTTTAAATGAAAGATTTTTAGTTGCTTTTTTGTAAGACTAAGACTTTTCTTTTTCTGAGAAGATCGTTCCCACTGTTTCTATGGTGCCTCACATCTGTCTGAAAACCTGTAATGAAGAGGCCTTTGGAACGCCCTCCTGGTCTCTGATAAACAGATTCTGAAAGAGCACCGCTCTCTGAAGAAGATCCAAACCAAGGAACCGGGCACGTGGTCTGCGGTGTTGGCTGCTGCAATCACCGCAGATCCCACGTTCTCCCCTCTCACGTAGAAGATGAATCCTGGAGGTCGCCTGTATTCAGGGAAGAGACACGGTGGAAGGAGGATGGAAGAGAGCAGCCCGGACACGGGCCGCAGCAGGGGGAGGGGAAGGACCACAAAGGGGCATGTGCGCATCGTGTTGGTTTCAATACACAAAATAAAATGCTCGCTCGCTGCAGTTTGGGTTGAGTTGCATTGTCCGTAAAGTTCCTCCTTTTTCTATTATAGTTTTACCCTTCGGGTTGTCCTGTCCCGAAGTGCTAGGATTGGGGTGAAGATTCCACCTTGTCTTCTGGTTTCTTTACCTCATCAGGTCCCATCCTTCACTCTCGCCCCATGCTTCTTCCTTCCTCTGTGCCCCTGAGCCATCCTCCTGTGCCAGTCCAGGGGGCACTCACCCACTTGTGAGCTTTTCCTCATTGCCAGCCTTCCAGGCTCCTTGGGAGAGGAAGACATTCTCTCGGCAATTTTTAACTGTTCTAAGTTAGGCTCCTTTAAGTGACAGGGTCCCCGGGCTCATTGGGAATTATTACAGAAATGCTCTGCTTTGGGCAGTCACTCCCAGGCAACAGACAAGCAAGTGAAGGAAGAGGTCGGTGCACGTGATGAGTGTGCTTGGCTGCTAACTGAAAGTCAGTTTGAGTCCATCAAGAGGTGCCTCAGAAGAAAAGCCTGGTGACCTACTTCTAACTCTCAACCTTTGACACCCTTGGGAAGCAAGCATAGCTCTGTTCTGATTGTACCCGAGGTTACCATGCGTTGGTGTCAGTTCTACGGGCAACTGCTGACTCTTAGGCAGGCAGAGCTGGGACCAGAAGCAAGGTGGCTCAGCCTGGTTCCCTGACTAAAGGCTTCTAACCTTTGTGCGATGGTCCCATTGGCAGTCCACTGATTTTTATAAGGGCTGCCTTCTCAGAATGATGTATCTAATGCATGCATACAATAAAAATACACCGGATTACAATATTAAGCAATGTAGGAGATATGTTATCAAAATATATTTTCAAATGATAACATAGTTGATAGTTAGTCAACACATCACCCCAATGGAAATTGTGAGAGATGTAGTAGTGGGTTTATGAGTTTCGGTGCTTTTGAAATACTCTTTCAAGTGAGATGTTTTAAGATCCAAGCACCAACTTTAACGTGACCTGAAAATAGGTGCGCTATTTAATCATTTTCCATGGTCATGGATATAGTGACTATCACTGTGGGTTAGTGTGTATAGTTGTACTTAAGGGAAATAGTATGCTTTGGCTAGGCATTAGTGAAAATGATGACCAATATCATGTTGAAATCCTCTTTCTTCCCAGAAATTTATCCATGGGTTTGTTGGCCATTCTTAGACGTTGGGCGAAGAGTCCCCATAATAGAGGGTGCAGAGGATAATTGAGAAGTGACCCCCATGGATACCCCATATGCCATTTGAAATAGTAGCAGCCTATCTTTCAGCCTCCTAGCAACACACAAGCCACTACAACATGATCAGTGGGTGGTGCCTACAATCACAGCAACCATTGACAGAGCTCTTACCATGGGCCAGTGATTATGCTCAGCTTTTTTCCCCCCTAAACTGTAATGAGCGTTTACACATAATGTCATTGAATTCTCATCATGATCCCCAGGAAGCGATGTTTGTCTCCATTTTATAGAGTCAGAGTTTAGAGAGCTTAATAATCTGCCAAGACCGCATCTCCAGCAAATGAGAAAATGATGGGTTGAATACAAGTTGGTCGAACACAGAGGCTCCCACTGTCCCCCACTTCTACCCACCTTCTTGCCTCTCATGTGGCCCCTGCAGAATGACCTCTGTCTTCTCTCGGGCCAACACTCTAAGTCAGCCATTCCACCCCACTAAAGGACGCTCTGAGTGGCCCTGGGGCCCTCAGTTGTTCCTCTTGCGTAGCCCAAGTTTGGGTGACTCAAGTTTCCCTCGGTTTGTGCATTCTTTAACAGTGGCCATGACTATTTCCTGGAGAAAATAATAGTAACACCTTCCATCCTTGCTATGTTCTTGCCGTTTACACATGGGGTCCATACCATTTAGACCTCTCCAGTTAGATGGACAGTCCCTCCAGATGATGGTAAAAATAGTCCCTCGTTAGCTGGCCGCGTACAAACAATGAAAATTACTGTGAGGCTGAATCACTGATGACACATTAGACCTCGCGGCTGGTTTCCACCAAGTACTCCTGTGCCATTGTGACCGACTTCGGTAGGTTACCGCCTTTGATGTGTTTGGTAAGTTACCATGGTTACTCTGTTTGATAAAATACCTACCAGCTTACATAATGTCCCCTGGGTGTCACTTGACCATAGTTATCAACTTTACAAAAAAACACCTGCATCAAAGAAATCTCTTGAATCAAAATCTAAGGAAATCGATGGACCATTACTTTGACTACAATCTGAGTTTCTTCTACGTGAGTCAGATCATTGGTCAGCTTTTTAGAAAAGCAATTTGGCCACGTGTATTAACCAGCTAGATGGCAGGGAGTGGGCCAAATACTCCATCAGTCTTCTCATCCTGTTGTCACAGGGAGTTTACTTCCTAGAAATATGTTTTAAAGGACCCAGGAAACATATACACCACCGTCCAGCCTCTAGGGGCTAGTAACGTGACAATTACTTACAGTACCAAAAATGCCAAGAGCATATCTCCAAGAATAAAGAATTGGTTTAATAAAAAGTAGGCAACACAATAAAATTACAAAGAGCCATTAAATCAGTGTAAATGATATTGACCACACATTATGTGGAAAAAGAAAAGGTTTTTTAAACAGAGAAATGATATTAACAAGGGAACATCAAAAAGTTCATGGAAAAATTCCATTCCATTGTTCACTCTTCTTCTTGCACGCGTGTGTGTATGTGTGAGTAGGTGTCTGTGTGTGTGTGCATATATGTATGTGTGTGTGTAATGTGTATGTGTGAGTAGGTGTCTGTGTGTGTGTGTGCGTATATGTGTGTGTGTAAATGTATTGTTCCTGAGTCCTTTCCCACTCATGGGAATGCTACACAGGGTTTCTTCCACTCTAAGACCATTTTTGGCAAAGGCAAATTGCTAAACGTTGAAACCCCTCATGACACAGTACCATTTTAAATGTGATTTTATGTTCATTACAGAAGGTTAGCATATTGAAAAGAAGTACTATTGCCAAAGATTAAAAGGAAAATCATGCTGAAAAACAGAAACATGTGCCTGTATAACTTTTATTTTTCCTCACAGAAGAGAGTGGCCATAAAGAGAGAGACCAAAGAGCGGAGAACAAAGGTTTTTTTCAGTTTCATAATTAGGACACAGGAGTAGACAGCTTCATTCTTCTCCCAGAAATAGCTGGTGAGTTTGAACTACTAGCTAGCACTCCCAGGCTTACCTCACACACACACACACACACACACACACACACACTCACGCACGCACACACACGCGCATGCGTGCATGTGTGTGCATGTGTGCGTGTTTAACCAGTTGCCATCTAGTCAATCGGCTTGAACTCATGCTGACTCCACTTGTGTCAGAGTAGAAATGTGTGCCATGGAGTTTTCAGCGGCCGACTTAATAGATACTAAAATATAATTTTGATGATATGCTAGGTAATTTGGTCTTGATTTGTTTTGCGTATCTATACTTAAAAGTTTCTACAATATGTACATAGTGCCTCTGCAAAGAAAATATAAATGAGCAAGGAAAGATTCGGTACTACTATTCAGGGAGTGGCCTAGTCTCTAAAGGAAATGTCTTGTTACATGGGAAAGGAATGCTCCTTGCATGTCATCAGGAGTCATCCTTCCGGGAACACTGAAGAGTAATTGTGCCAGCAATCAGGTATCAGGTGTGGCCAGGTGAGGTGTGTAGTAGCCACAGGCTCAATATAGTTTGATGATTCCTTCTCCATATTTAGGAAACATGTATCTTGTTAGTGTTGATATCCTTCTTGGCTCTCTGTTATGTATTTTCTGTGTTTTTTAGTATATGAAGCTGTGTGAGTTCAAATTAACTAGAGAAACAAATCCAGCAACACTTGTGTGTGTAAGAGAGAGCTTGATGTCAAAGAGCAATTGTATATTGAGAAAACATCCCAGCCCAGTCCAGATCAAGTCCATAAGTCCAATACTAGTCCATAAGTTCAATATTAGTCTATAAACCCCTCTTCAGACTCACACAGCCACATGCAATGATGCAAGATGCAGGAACATCACAGGCCAGTGGGTGGAAAATCTTGTGGATCCAATGGCGTTGGACGCATCTCCAGGGGTCTGGCAGGTCTCAGGCAGGTCCACAGCTGGAAGTTGAAGCAGAGAGAGGGCCTCTCCCAAATCTCAGCAAGTCTCTGCATGGGTTGTCAACAGGAAGACAAGGCAGAGAGTGTGTGGCCCGTCTCCAGGGAGAAGGACAGGAAGTTCCCAGAATCCTCATGGGAAGACCACGCCCCCAGGGAGACATCATCAGCCTGTGATCTGATTGACAAGCTAGGCTCCACACCTACACTTATTTACCAAGTTGACATGAAGTATGTAACTCCTACAACCAGTTTCTAGAAAGTTAAGCTAAGAAATTTTGTCCTCAGTGCTCCTGACCAGAGAGAGTTGTGAGACTCTGTAACTCAGATAAACTGTGAGCCGTTGGGCATTTCTTTGGCCCAGGGAAGTGCC